TATGCTTCACTTCCAACAACTGCCATGCTGGTTCTTCTACCTGGAATACTCCCCTAACAATACCATGGCTTGCACTGACTCATTCTTCAGTTGGTATCTCATCCCTGGGGAACATTCCTCAATGCTTCCCTGCCCGTGGGTTAGGTCAACCTGCTACCTATCCCCAGGCCATCCTGGTCTCCTCCAACATGCCATGCACTAAGCTGTATTGCACTAGCCTGTCTTCACTGCTATACAACAACCTCTGTGAGGGCAGGGAAGACTTCTGTCTTGCTTACCACTCTCTGTTCCTAATACTCGCTTCATTACCTGAGACACAGGCACTCAGTAAGTATGTGTTAAATAAATTAAGTATTCAGGATCATTCGTGTTATGTAAGAGAAATACAGCCCCTATAATGAAAATTCTCATCACTGGAATCTGCAAAGGCATCTCTGATTCTTTCACGGAACATCTGAAAATAGTCACAGTACAAAGGATGGAACACTACATGCTAATATGAATTTGCAAAAACTATGGTATTATTCCAACTCTATTTGCATATTGGGTATTTACAAATGTAAAATATTTTTATTGGGTTACTTAGGATAACTAATTAGAACTAAACTTTTAGTTACTAAACCTATTGATAATCTTTCATTGGAAATAGCACCAATTTCACATTTCATGGTAAATATAAAACTATGTCCAGACTTAGCTCATTTAAAGCCAAAGTTGAAATTTGGGTAACTTTTAATTATAAAAATGTTTCTTTCGTATTTAAAAGTTTGGGATGTTATGTTGACTTATTGTTTTGTATTATATGGTACTTACTGATAAATCTGTACTATTGGGAACATATTGATCCTGTTCTCCCAGCAACACATCAATCACAGGATGCCTTCCATTTTTTATTATGATTTTTCTTTCTTCTTGTACAGTTGGTCTGCAAAAAGAAATATGTTTCAATTTACTAAGCATGGAAATAGCCTTAAAAAAAAAAAAAAAAAAAAAAACTAAGACAGCATGAAAAATTTCAGTACTGTTTGTACGACAGAAAACAAAACTTTACACATAGATTTTAAGAACATATGTCCAGAATAAAACCTTGAGTATAAAAGTTAAATTTGAACTATAAAATAAAAATTGGGAAAATATTTATTATAATAATTGTGCAATGAAGCACATACTTTAGAAGAGTCTTATAAATGGCTTCACCCTTGTAGTTTACCTTTACGAGATCTTTTTTTTTTTTTTTTTTAAGAGACAGGGTCTCACTGTGCTGCCCAGGCTGGAGTGCAGTGACTATTCACAGACACAATTATAGCACACTACAGCCTCAAGCTCCTGGGCTCAAGTGATCCTCTTGCCTCAGTCTCTTCAGGAGGCTGGGACTATAGGTGCATGTCACCATGCTGGGCTTTATTTTTCATTTTTCTATTATTGTTTGAGATCAAACCAATATTTTCACTAGTAAAGATAACAGTTCAGATTATTGCTACTTATTTTCATTAATGAATATAATAAAGCAAATCACATAAAATTATTTCTAGATGTCATTATTAAACTATGTGTTGGACTTGGAAACGAAATGACCTAAAATTTTCATACGTTGTTTCATTAAAACATCTTTCTATGGTCTTTTGTATCTTTTACTTGGATACAAGAATCATATTTTGGCCTTGTTGTTCTTTAAGTTTTTTAAAGACCTCTATATCTGTTTTATCTACAGCTTTAGCTGTGTAGTCAAGACCCTCTGAGCCCTGCCTTACTCTCAGCTCTCCTTCCCAGATGTTACTACTTAGACCAGCTTGCTGTCTACCTTTTCCAACCTTCTTCTGTGCATTTATGTTTATGTATGCATCATACTGGTTCTGATTTCTTTAGAAAAGTCATACTGTAATATATTATTCTGTAATTTAAAAAATTCAATAGTTTAACTCTCAGTACATACATAAAAAATAGATTTCACCATTTACTATCTGGATATAACATATTCCTTTAAAGTCATTTCACAAATAATTTTACAGAAATGAGAATAAGGGGATAGTAAAAAAAAAAAAAAAAATCAACCTCATGACAGATTTTAATAAGAATTTAAACACAGTAAATCTCAAAGTTTTATTCCATATTCTCCTGGTTTTCAAGGCATATATATCTGAAATGGGTAACACATTCTGAAGGTCATTGCTCATCAGCTGTCAAGCATGCATCTGGAACATATTCATTCATAAATACTAAATTCCAAATTTCAATACATTTCTAATAGGTTCTAGAGCTGATTATTTCTGATTCTTTTCACATTTGTATCAACGAAAATACAAATACTTGAAGTTTTCAAAATATTTTAAAGCTTATAATTTTCTTAAAGAGATGTCATTTTTGCTCCATAATTGCAAAATATTTTCATTTTTTGACTTATCAACACCAATTAGAATAATCAAATGAGTACCTTTATTTCTACATCATCTATATCCTTTCAATCTCCTGTCTGTCTATAAATTATAACCTACAAATTGTATCAAGTAAATTTTAATGAATAAATATTATAAAAGATAGAAGAATACTATCACATCTTTCAGCAAAACAGGATAGTCCGGGTTCTTGTCACCAAATATTACATGATGAATGTTTCCTATTGAATGATTAACTGGACGAGAATAACAGAGTTCATTTTGCCCTTACAAATACATTATTCACACACCAATCCTTGAGTTTGAGAAAATTCACCTAGGATATTGTCTGAGCATTCAGAATCTCAGATTTTGCTGATACATGAAATTTCACCATCACCATGAATATCCAGGGCACTGGTTTCTTTCTCTTCACATTCATCATCTGATGAACCTAATAATTATGAAAGGCCTTCTGTCAATTTTTTTCTCTTTGCCTTTATGGGTGAACAATGAAAAATTCTGAATTTTCAACTGTGTTCAATGAAAGTTAGAAGCAGACTCCAACTGTGGCATCTGCACTCTTCTTTTATACCTTCTTGGAAGATGATGTAACACGGGCAATACAATAAGAAAACGGATGATGTGATAGTGATTTCTCTCCTCACTTCTGCATCATCATTCTCCCATTTT